TCGTTGTCAGTGAAGATAATCACCTGAGTATTTCGGAAGAGCCGCGCCCACGTCCAAACACCACACCAAATGGCAAAGCACTCAAGCTCGAAGATCGGGTTCTCGCTATCGGAAGTGTTAAGGGTGCCCCTCGCAGACTCCGAAAGGTATTCGCTGAAGTGACCGATGTAAGAGCCAGATTCGGAAAGAAGTATTCCTCCGATGCCCGCCTTATCATCGTCATTCGAAGCATCCACATACAAGTGCCAAGTGTAGCATGATCGGTCAGTGATGCACCTGGGCGGAGAATTTGCGACATGGTCGGCCAAAAACTCCAATGCGGTCCTAGTCGATGTGTCGAGCTTGCCACCGCCCTTGGACACATGGCGCGACAGCTCCTGGTATGCCAGTCCGGCACGCTTGCCAGAGATTTGCTGTTCTGCGAATTGCAATCGGCCTCGAAGCTTTTCGCCATCTTTCCGGCTGAGGAACCCTGCATCAAGGATGTCGGCCAAGGATGCAACAAGCTCGTCGCGTCGATTATCGGTGTTTGCGAAGCGGATGGTTCCAAGCTTGCATTCACTCAAATCAATCTTTAAGCCAAGCACCTTAGCGATTGTGTCAAAGTCCGAACCCTTGTCAGCTGCTGTTGTCCATCCAAGAATCATGAAAAGGCCATCTGCGCACAACTCAAAAAGCTTGGAGAGCACCGGTGTCTCGCATCCAATGAAATCATCAAAGAACACCCCCCAGTGTAGGAGGAAGATCACCACTCCAATGCTCCAGACCGATAACGATGTTCTGCAAAACCCGTGCACGCTTGCACGGGCTCCAAACGGCAAAACAAGTTGACCATAAATCTCCGTGCATGCACGACGAGGGTTCCATACCGCTAAGAAAGCGTCTGGTATCGATTCCAAGTGCAACGCAAGATTTTTGTAGGCTTTAGTTAAGTCCCAAGTTCTCAAGTGTAGTTGCGAATGCAATCGAAGAGCTCGTAGATGGTGAATCCTGTACGCAAGCGCTGCTGCAATGACATCGGCAGAATGCACTGTGATGGTGTCCTCGGAACTGGCTGTAGAGTTTACCCCCGATTCAAGATAGTTGTCGATCGGTCGACATTTCCCGCCTTGGCGGATACCAAACCGACGTGTGACAACCGCGTCCTCCGGAAGATCTTTCTCGGCAATCGGGCCGAAAAGCCAACCCCTCTGAAGCTCATCGGCTGTTGCTGCAAAGGTGGCCTCATCCAACTCGCAGTCGCCAGAGCCACGGGTGGAATAGATTATCCCACGCCTTAGCACGTGTGCAGCCTTGCGGAGGGCAGCTGTACTAAGAGTCGCCGAAGTCCTCTTTGCCCTGTAGACACCCGAACTAGGATGGGCCCGCTCAACTTAAAACCCTCAGCAATGTCCCCCACAATGGTTTCATCGCCGTGGCCGCTGGCCTCCAACATCTCCTTGAACACCGCAAGCCTCTTACTCTTCAACACCTTAGCACAGTGCTCTGGCATGCGCTCCTTTAGCGCCGTCTCTGTGTCACGTAACTCCACGGCCCTGCCAACCCACTTACGAAGCTGTGCCGTGCGCTCGGCTCCGACATCTTCAGAGCTCATGTGCACGAGCTTGTCAAGAGTCGTCTTAAGCTCGGGAGGGATACCAGAGTGAAGATGCCGTGGATGTTTTGCTTCAAGGGCCTTGCTTATAAATTCACTAGGACTCCAAGGGATACCTACTACAACCCTATGCCAATGGTGCTCCTCGGGCCCTGCCGGTGAGGGGCCACCATCTGAGGAATCCGGAATGTTGGCGCCAAAACCCATCAAACTTTCACGGACATGATCTGGAATGATCTCTGGACCCTTTACGACAAAGCCCACGAGGACAATGCGGGGCCCATGCTTCCACGGGGCAGTGCAATGCTTCTGGTGGGCATCGAACCTAATGACCCCATCCTTGAACTCAAGAATGTCTCCAAAAAGATCCCCAAACTCAACATCCGGGCACTGAATGCAGCCTTCCTTGGATTGCACCCACAGCCCGCCGTCGGTGAAGGAAGTGACCTTCACTATGGTGTTGAGGAAGGAAATGGACTTGTTTGCATCAAGATGGGTCTTGGTTTGGATGTCCTTAAGCAACGCAAGACTGGTAAATGTGGCCTCTGGGGATTGCTCTCGCATGAACCTAGCAAGCAGCCTCGTGGTTTGCGGGAAACTAACGGAGGATTTCCTAAGGCCATAGTTACCCCCATGAACGAAGGCACCCACAGTAAAGGAGAAGGTGTCTGCTTCACCGCTACCCCTGGCTGGAACCTCAGATTCAAGGAGATCGCAGAACTGTGCAACATCGCTTGCCCGCACGCGAGCATGTCCGAGGCACTTAGTGGCGAAGGCTTCAGCAGGATGTATGTTGGGATCTAATGAAGCAGCCTGTTCATGAGACTCAACAAGTGCATGGGCACACGACTCTTGCACACCCTGATCACCACGCATGTCCTGATCGCCCTGAGCAGACTCACTCACCCCAAGCACCTGTCGGCGAAGGATTCGAGACCCGGATGGCAATTTTTGAATGTCATGATTGCATCTGGACCCCGCGGGAAGATCAACATCGGAAGCCAATTTCTTGCAAGATTGATCAAGGAACACCTGAGGTGTATCTACAGTAACCACAAGCTTAAACTCACTCACCAAGGGAGGGATCTTCCGCCGGGTAGGCTGGGTACCTGAAGCAACCTGGGCTTCTCGGTGAAGCGAAGTCTGGGCAGCAGCAAGCGAATCAGGTCGGGCAGTTGCACCGAGGCCAACAAGTTGCTCTATGATCGCAGCGGCCCAGGCACGACAAAGGTCCAGGGGGTATGATGTATCCTGGACTTTGCTGAAGGACTCATGCACATGACTCTGAGTGACGCCACGACAAAGGACCCCCAATTGCGTGAGAGTTGGGATTGTGTGCAAAATGCGGGTGAACCTGGGGCACAGGGAGCCCCACATGCAGGTATGAAACGTAGTATCATGTGAGCTCATGCACAGACTATGCTTCTGCCAATGAGTCGTGGTCCAAAAATATGAATGTCCTGGGTTCTCACACGAGAAAAGAATGCCCTTCGAACAACACAAGGAAAAGAGTTTGCCACAAAACCCGTACAATAAGTTCTGCTCTCTGACAAAGCTGGACGAAGGCTCCGAAAGTTCGGGGAGTCCATCAGGATGCTCCCCACTGCGATGTTTGCGATGCGGCACAGGGGGTGACACATGAACATAGCTGCAATTTGGATTGTCAAGCATCTGAGAGACAAGCTCACACGCTTGTGGATCGACAAGATCAAGCCGTAGCACTGGTGCAATCAAGCATCGGCCCACATGTTTGTCAACCCCGACACTATCACCAAGCCCCAGCCGACGAAGCTCACTTGTCAAACGACCTGACCCCGCAAAAATTTCAACCCCGAAGAGTGACCCAACAGGCTTTCCGGCTATGCGACGCTTTGCCCGTGTTAGGAAAGCTTCCAGACTGTCTATCAAGTCACACCCGGCGTTTGCAAAAGTTCACGCGCCCGCTGCCTTAGTATGGTTAAGTAAGGAGTGTGGTTTCTGGCAGTTCGGCTCCGCGCACAAATGAACGCCACGAGGGCAGCGACCCCCGGCAGGAGCGGCAGAGCACCCCTCCTCAGTATTAAAGGCCCAGCAGATGGGGACCCCGCGCTTCGTTCGAGACCACTTGTCCTTCAACGACATAGGCATGGACTTAGGGACGGCCTTGCCTTTGCCATTCTTGCCCTTGCCGTTCCCTTTACGGGGTTGCTTGGTAGGGGTATTACCCTGATCATCAGTTTGGCGTTTCATGGCCCCGGCTGACGAGGGGCCTGAATCACGACACCATAACAAGTGAAAAGCAACTTTGGGGTTCCCTTGAAGTCGGGGCAACTCTCGGTCCAATGGAAGAACCCCGTCAGACCCTGCACGAACCCCTTTCGGCAATCGCTCTGCAAGACGAAGCCAAGCTGCTCTGTCCGCCTCCAAAACTTGGTGAACTGTTCTGCGATCACGTCTTATTGAGGGAAGAGGTTTGCCAAGGGAAGTCTGAAATAGTCAGGTCCTAAAACCAAAATGTTTATGCCCCAAATGATATATGGGGAAAGCGAGTATATATCGGAGCGAATATAAATGTGCCGACAGTATCCCCAGAAATATGTGGGGTATAAATTCAGCTATCTTCCTTTCAAGAGAATCTTGTGCTCCCATCTTGGATAGGAGAATGAAATGATTGATAGACGCACCGGACGTGTTTTGACTCGAAGAGGCGGCAAGCTCACGCGGGCATTTCGTGAAACGGTCTTTGACAAGCTGACGTAGAGAG